GAAGAGGTCCGATGTGGACGTGGATGGCTGTGGTTCCTCGCAGGACGCCTGAGTGGTGGGCGACGACGGCAGGCCCTGGGGCTGGTCCCCTCGCCCGGCACCTGAGGTATCTTTGGTCGCGTGGATCACGCTTTCTTTCCTGGCTTCTGTGAGCACAAGAGCAGCAGCTCATGGCCCCGCGGCTGTCCATGCCGGCAGGCGGAGCAGCTCCTCCCATGACAGTCCCTGCTGCCTTCACTTACCCAAGGAGTCCTGGGCCACGCCTTGCTTTTCACTCAACGCCTCGTAGCGGTACGCCACGTCTGGAAGGAATGAACATGGTCAGGGCAGTGTCGGCCTGTGCACCAAGCCCAAATCATTTTCCTCTTCTCTTCCCTCCAGCCAGTTTGTCCTGCTGACTATCTTGTCTGTTCAGCCACTAACAACGTCCACCAGGTACAGGGACTTTAAAACAAATGGCCCAAAACACCTGAACCGACGCTAAAACTCAGGAGAACACGTCTGCAGACAGGAGGCCGACAAAGGGAGGCAGGGCACCTGCCAAACAAAGACTATGCTTCCTGTCCCTTCGGCATGGCCAGCCCGAGGGGATTCAGCTGCAGAAACCCAGGGAAGGCCCGCCCCTTCTTTCTGTCTCGGCAGGAACCTTCGAAAGATTCCTCCACCCTCTTTGCCCAGTATCCTGCTTCTTCCGCAGACACACGCACTCCAGGCTGATGAGGCCTTGTGGAGCCCAGTACAGTCTCGGGGTCTCCATCCCTGCTCTTGGTCTTACTCCCCCAATGCAGATTCCCTTATTCTGCACCTAACCCAGCCCCGTTCCCTTCTCTGTGGCTGCCACGGAGGTTGACGGTCATGACTCGAGTGGTCTGTATGGAAGCAGGCCTGGGGCTTAGCCGGCAAGGCCAACTCCCCCAATCTTGAGCAGACACTACCCTCACCAAGAGCCTCCGCACACAGCAGAGAGCCAACACGAACGTTCCTGCGGGAAAAGGCTGCTTCCACAGGCTCTCCCACAAAGCGCCCCGGTGGCGGCAGGCCGTCCCCCGCACGGCACCCAGGCATCCACCTGGCGCCCCCGCTTACTGTGCTCCGGCTCGTTCTTCCTGTACACCACGTAGATGACATCGCCCGTCCGCAGTGGGCACATCTGCCTCTTCACAACTGTCACAGCGTTAACCACCGTGCCGTTGGTGCTGCGGAGACGAGAGGTGCAGCTTACCCTACGAGCATCGCTGGAAGCCAGACACGCCTGGTTCTACCAGCGTAAGGAGACGGTCAATCCCACGCCTCGGACACCGCTGTGCTCATGGCAACAGCATTCACAGCAGCCAAGGTGGGCACATGCCCTGAGTGCCCATCGACAGGCGACTGGCTGCCATACACAATGGAAGCCAACTTGGCTGTAAAATGGAACGAAGCACTGCCTTTTGCATCAACGTGGGTGGACAGAGAGCAAAGGCTGTCCGTGCGTGCGAAGGATTTATGTGCTTTCCGTGGGGAGCGGGACTTCTCTTTTTTACATGCTACTTACATCGTATAAGAATTCATAGAATAACATTACTATTTCTTAAATTTTGGGGAAAGAAGCCTAACTCATGTAGGTTTGTGAGAACCCAAAATGTGTCCCTGACTTTTAAGTCTTGATCTGAGATGTTTGCTTTAATCTGAGTACCTCCCAGAAGGGTCACAGATAGCCTCGTGTCCCCGAGCAGCCCACCCCGGAGGGCGGAGCACGCACTTCCCGAGGCCCTGAGGCCTGGCCAGCCGCCTCGGGGAAGACCACCGACCCGCGTGCCCTCTCCGGTCACTCGCTTCCGGTCAGGTTCCAGAAGCTGCGCGAGAAGGAAAAGCAGCTCAGAGAGAGCTTACCTGGTGTCTTCCAGCAGCACCTGGCCAGACTTCTCATCCCAGATGATTTTACAGTGATCTCCAGAGACCAGCTTGTTACCAGGAAATGAGAGGTCGCAACCTGAAACACAGAAGGGGCCCCCCACAATATGACGGCGGGTACCATGCATGATACCACGCTTTACCGAACCACAGAGAGCATGTTTGCGTGTGAGTGGAAATCAGGGCCCACGGCGTGCTGTGCACTTCAGGAGGCAACATCTGATCAGGAAGGTGCCAAGAGAAAGCTCCAAAGGATTGAAGCGTTAATCCACAATGCAGAGGGACAGGGGACGTGGCCCTGAACCTCCCTGACTCCCCATTGGGGGGTAGGACACCCTCTCAACACCTCCCTTGAAACAGCAACAGCTTCTGGGTGAGAGTTTTACAACAGGCACACATGTGCAGCTGGCCTGATAAATATTTAAACATACAAAGGGCGTTAGTTATGCAATTCTTCAGTATTCTAACTTAGTTGCAAACTATACAAAAGTGAAGCAATGGCAAAGGGTCACATAAAATATGACTGAGAAAATGACCATAGGCACACATACGTGTTTAAGAAAATTAAAAACAGCCAGGACCGGTTTGGCTCAGTGGATAGAGCGTCAGCCTGCGGACTGAAAGGCCCCAGGTTCGATTCTGGTCAAGGGCATGTACCTTGGTTGCGGGCACATTCCCAGTGGGGGTGTGCAGGAGGCAGCTGGTCGATGTTGCTCTCTCATCTACATTTTTAACTCTCTGTCCCTCTCAATTCCTCTCTGTGTAAAATCAATAAAATTATATGTGTGTGTATATATATATAAAACAACTCCCAACCTATTAAAAAAAAAAAAAAGAACATTAAAAACAGCTCTAGCTAGTGTTGCTCAATGGATAGAGTTCCATTCCAGTCAAGGTCATATGCCGGGGTTGCAGACTCATGCCCACTAGGGGGCATGCAGGAGGTGGCCAATCAATGATTCTAATACTCTCCTCCCTTTCTTTCTGAAATAAAAAAATATATATATTAAAAAAAGGAAATTAAAAACAGAAGGGAGATGCAGCTATAGCTAAACACAACCCCTTTCTCCTCATTAAATGCAAGGAGAAAAATCCTCAAATGCTTTGTTCTGTCCTGAAATCTAAAGACTAAAAGCTTCCAGTACAGCAACTTTAGGTTTTGCTGGAAAGGTTCATACATTCGCAGATTAACTCCTTGCATTGCCCTGTGAAATGACAATGTGATGCTGTGTTATAACAACAATGGCGAACATTAAGTGCTAACTTGAAGCCAGGCCTCTCCGAAGCGCATCGGGCTGACATCAGGCTGGCGGTCTCCTCTAACCTCTGCCGAAAGGTACGTTAAGGCAAAGCAAATTAGGCAGTGATGCCACATGTTCCAACCTCAGCAGTTTCTCTCTGGGGCTCTGGTCTTCCCCAAACTTCCAATAACATCAATTAAAGACAATTGGTTTGTTTTCCAGAAGTTCCTAATGATATGTAAGCACTTCCAGAATTGTCAAAAAATTAACTTAATACTGGAGTTTAAGACAAACAAAACAAAAACAACAAACAAACAAAAAACATCACAAAACCACGCAAAACAAAAACAGCTGCACGTCCATCATAAGGCATAAAATGAAACCAAAAACATAAGCTTTTAAACAGTAATCTTCCTCATTCTCTTTTTTAAAGTATACAGTCAGTGATCATTTATTTTCAGACAAACTAGTTTTTGTATTTTGTTTTTTGCCTGATCAGTGCACTTCCCTGCCTGCAGGAAAGCTGCCAGGGAGTCAATGATGCGATGGACGGTGGCTGCGGCCCGCAAGGCAGGAAGTGCCGAGGTCTGGGCACCTGAGGGCGCCTTCTCTTGGCTGCGGGACCTCGGCTTCCCAGGTCCGTAGACCAACACATCCTTCCATGGCTATGGGAGCTGGGGCTTGAGATCTTTTAAAAGAGCAGGCCTGCGGCTGTACATTTTCCTGTAGGCCTGCTGTAGCTGCATCTCAGTACATTTTCATTTTATTCACCTGGGCCAGTGGTCGGCAAACTGGGGCTCATGAGCCACATGGGGCTCTTTGGCCCCTTGAGTGTGGCTCTACCACAAAATGAAAATCTATTTTGAAGAAGTGGCGTTAAAAGAAGTTTATTTTTTTTTTAATGTGGCTCTCAAAATAAATGTCGATCATTGTCCTGATATTTGGCTCTTTGGACGAATGAGTTTGCCGACCACTGACCCGGGCTCTCCTCTAACTTCCGTGGGACTTCCGTGACCCCCGGTCGGTGCAGAGCGCGCTGTTCAAATGCCCCCGGAGCTGCGCGTTCCCAGCACCTTCCTGCCTGGGCGCCCCATCGCCCGGAGGTCAGAGGAGGCGCTCGGGCAGCAATGGAGCTGAGCCCCGGCTCGCTGGGGACAAACCCATGCGCCTCCTCCACGAGGTTGTCCCCGGGGTGAAGCGATCTGCGGGGCGCGCCCCAGTGAGTAAATGGCCGCTCTCACGGGAAAAACTGGTCCGCACTGCGCCCCGCCCAGGGCCGCCCGGCCCGGCCCCCCCCAACCCCCGCCGGACCGGGTCCCCTCTCCCGGCCCCACCCCGGCCCCTTGCCCCAACCCCGGCTCCCGGCCCCGCCCTCGACCCCATCCCGGCCCCCGGCCCCGAACCTCGATCCCCACCCAGGTCCCGGTCCCCAGCCCCCAGTCCCTACCCCGGCCCCCGGTTCCCGTCCCCACCCCGGTGCCCGGTCCCCTGCCCCCGTCCCCACCCGGGGCCCGGCCCCGGCCAGCACCTCTCTTCCGCCCGAAGGTCCACTCCCGTTTCCGCAGGAGGACGTGCGGCTCGCCCTCCTCGGCGCCCAGGCGGAGGAGCCGCCCCCACGGCTGCTGAGGGGGCGGCTGCTCGCCTTCCGCCGGCCGCTCCATCGGACTCACATCTGTCGAAACTCGGACCCGGAAACGTCGGGACGGGTGGCAGCCCCGCGGCTCCGCCCCGTGGCCTCCGGGCCTCAGCGCCTCCGCGAGCCGCCCGCCCGGCCCAGCCCAGCCCCCGCCCCCGCGCCGAACCCGGAACCGGCCGCGCCGCCGCCGCTGTCAACAGACATCGCGGGTCCCTCAGCTGATCCGCGGGGCGGGGCCCGCGGCTGCGATTGGCTGGCGGACCCACCATAGAGCGTGGCGGCTAGAGAGGACGCGGAGGGCTGGCTTCGCATGCGCAGACGGAAGGCTGCGGGCCTGGGCGCCATCTTCGGTGCTGGCCGGGAGGTCTCGCCTTCGCAGATGTCGGCTGCAGCAGCAGCCCGCGCCATGTTAAGTCAGGGCAAAAGAGCCGAGCAGTTCGCCCAGGGAGCACCTACAGGAATTCTCGAAGCCGCTTAGGAAGCACGGAAAGGCGCGCGAGATCCAGCAGTCCGGATGCCCGGGAGGAAGAGTCACGTTAAGGCGGGAGGTACGTTTCTAGGCCAGTATTATCTGCTCTTCCTGTGATATAGGAAAACCCCCCCACAAAAGCACGTTTTCCTTTCACGGGGAAAGGAGCCCCTCGTTTTGTTGTATCTCACCAGGAAACGATTTAATTCCAAGCCAACTCCGCTACCTGGGAGCTGAGTGACTTTGTATATTAAAACTCCTTGTTGTGCCAAAACCGGTGTGGCTCAGTGAATAGAGCGTCGGCCTGCGGACTGAAGGGTCCCAGGTTCGATTCTGGTCAAGGGCATGTATCTTGGTTGCAGGCACTTCCCCAGTAGGTGGTGTGCAGGAGAGGCAGCTGATGGATGTTTCTCATCAGTGTTTCTAACTCTCTATCCCTCTCCCTTCCTCTCTGTAAAAAAATCAATAAAATATATTTTTTAAAAAAAGTACGTTGTTGTTAGTGATGAGCTAAACATAAAAAAGCACCCCTCCCTTCCCAGGTGCCCCTGCGTATGGAATGGCAGAGTTGGTGATTTCTCATTCCCTCCATGGGAAACCCGCCACAGTGCAAAAGCGTGCAACTGAACACCCTCACTCAGGCACTAATCAAAACAGGGGCCTCGCTGAGCTTAGGTAGTGGGCGGGAGGCAGTGAGATAGGAAAGGAAGCCAAGGGCACCGGTGTGTCCCTCGGGCAGAGCACTGGGCACGGCGATGTGGAATCAGGCCTGGTACTGCCCCTAAGTGATCTCGGGCAAGACATTGCCAGTCTGTGTTACAGGATTTGTTTGACATCGTTGGTGTTTCCAACTTTCAGCTCCACAGTCCCACCAGACCCACTTCCTCAGAAGCACAGGGCACACTTTAACACTCTGGGTCTCATCTCTACTTGTTCTTGGCATGGCTAAGCTATGAGTTTCCCACTCTGTCAAGCCTCAGAGGATCCGGGGGGCCCCCACCCCGATGTTTAGTTTGCAAAAATCAGCATTTTCCCCTCTGGGCAGATGTCAGACCCCAACCAGGTGAGCAAAGGACCAGGTGGCTGGTTAACTCACCACAGCTAACAACTGAGCTGAGCTTTTCACTTGATATTTTAGGGGTAGCTCATCGTAATGTTTTGGGAACTGGTGGGAGTTCAGATTAGGTTTGGGAAATCGATCTGGAATGGAAGCCTGAGTGTATTGTTCCTATTGATTACACTCACTCGTATCGACTTCTCAAATGGTATACTCAGTAAACATACGGGCACAGAGGTTTTCTTTTCAAATACAGCACTGAGACAAGTGTCAGCAACAGGTGTGAGCCGGGGTAGCCCCGCCCCCAGGTGCGCTGGGACTGTCAGTGGGAGCAAGGGCAGCGGCTGGCAGAGACTGCCTCGGGGGGAACAGCAGCCTGACCTTGTGTTTCAGCTGTTTACCCCGTTCTCATACGGAGAGCATGGCTAGTCCCAGATCTTAGACACTGCTTGACACGGTCTGCTTAGTATGAACACAGTACACAGTAGGATAAATGTGTGCAACTCGCTCATGTCCCAAACATGGCCTTTCCCTCTGCTCTATGGCAAGTAAGGGGGCAGAGAGAATCCTGATGGTGGAAACCACTTTATTATCACACACAGATCACACAGCACTGACAGAGAAACCATCACCGGAACGTCACCATGCATATTCTGTGCAGCCTCTACAGACACAAGCTGGAGGAAACAGGTTTCCGGCTCAGAGGATGCAGTCTGTTCAACTATTCTTAAAGGTTCATACTTACGCACTATTGTGGTCCTACACTTTACTTCTAAGATCATAATGCAAAACACATTGTCATTGCTTTGCTGTAAGCAGGGCTATTATTATTTTTTTAATGAGAAAAATATCTTTTTTTTTTTTTTTTTTTTTTTTTTTTTTTTTATTTTTTTTTTAAAATATATTTTATTGATTTTGAACAGAGAGGAAGAGAGAGAGATAGAGAGCCAGAAACATCGATGAGAGAGTCATCGATCAGCCGCCCCTTGCACACCCCTCACTGTGCAACCAAGGTACATGCCCTTGACCGGAATCGAACCCGGGTCCCTTCAGTCCCCAAGCCGACGCTCTATCCACTGAGCCAAACCGGTCTCGGCGAGAAAAATATCTTTTATATTTACCTATATATTTGCCATTTCTAGAACTCTCCCTTTCATCCTGAAGATCCAAATTTCCACTTACTGTTATTTTCCTGCTGCCCCAAAATAACTTTAATGTTTCCCGAAGGCAGTTGTACTGGTGATAAATTCTTTTTTCTTTTTTGAAAAATCTTTTTGCGTTCATTTTTGAAAGATGCTTTTAATGGGTAAACTCTAGGTTGCAGGGTTTTTATCCCCTCTCAGTAATTTACAAATGGTTCTCCACTGTCTTTAATCGAAAGTGTGCTGTCATTATTTGTCTTTTTTTCTTCAGTTGTTTTACTGTTGTTCTCACTGGTTTTCATCAAGGGGACATGATGTCTGTTGGCATGATTTTCTTTGTTTCTTCTGTTCTGTGTTCTTTGAGCTTCTTGAATATGTGGAGTTATACTTTTCAGCATATGTGGAAAATTTTCAGCCATTATTCAAATACTCTCTTTGCCTCTTCTCTCTTCCCTTCTGAAACTCCAATTATATGTATTCCATACCACTGTAATGGACCCCCCATTCCCTACCCTCTGTCTTTTTTCTCTGTGTGCATTATTTGGGTAATTTTTATTCTTACTATTCAAGTTCATTATTTTCTTATTCTATGTTTAATCTGTTCTTAATTCCACCCACATATATATGTCTTTTTAAGAAATTCTCACCCTGCAAAACACCATCCAGCTTTTTAAGATATATCTTCCACTTCAAGTTTCATATAATTTGTGTCTTCCTCTGCTTTATAATAGCCATGTCTACTAATTCTAACCACTTCCAACCACAGTATTTTCTATATCTCTACTGATTATTTTTCTACTGGTTACAAGTCATAGTTTCCTACCTCTCTGCATGCCAGACATTGTGGATCCAAAGTAACTTTTAATCTAAGTTAATTACCACCACTACCAAGGCAACAGTCTTCCAGGAATTCCAGCTGAAGCCCATGTGTTAAAAGCTGTTTCCACTCTTGCTGGTCGGAAGTGTTGTCAGCTCTGCACTGAGTTCTAGGAACTGTTCACCCTCCTGCTTTCCAGCCGACTTGATCCGCTCTAACAGGACGATGTATCCATTTCCATAGTCCTCTCCCTGGGAGGCTCCTTTCCCCTCCAGTGCTTTCCTTGCAAATGCTGTCGCCATGGCCTCCCCAAACGCCAATCCTGCAATCTATTTAATGTGGCAGGACTAGGCTTATTCCCTCCCCTGTACTGCAGAAACCGGTTTGGCTTGATGGATAGAGTGTCGCCTGCGGTCTGAAGGGTTCCAGGTTCGATTCCGGTCGGGGGCCTATGCTTTGGTTGTGGGCACATTCCCAGTGAGGGGTGTGCAGGAGGCAGCTGATCGATGTTTCTTTCTCATCCATGTTTCTAACCATCTATCCCTCTCTCTCTTCCTCTCTGTAAAAACTCAGTCAAAAAAAAAGAATCCAAGATGTTAAAATGTTCAATGTCTGTAATATGAATTGTAATGACCTTGTGAAATAACATTTTTGGGGAAAAGATGTTCTTTGGGGGAAAAAAATCTCTTTCTGAATTCTTATTAGTGACATGTGCCTTTACAATAATTTTTCCCCCCAACAGTCACTGTAATGACAGGGTTTCTGTTTTGTGTGTATCCTCAGAAGTATTAAGAGGAGTGATATTCTGCTAGCAGCCTTTCCACACTCACTGCTCTCACGTGGTTTCTATATTACATGATTCCTCTGATGGATCATGAGCTGTGCCTTCCTCTTGAAGGTAGTCTCACATTCATTGCAGCCATAGTATTTATTACCTGTGTGAATTCTCTGATGCCTCATAAGATGTGACTTTCTAGTGAAAGACTTTCCACATTCACCACATTTATAGGGCCTCTCTCCTGTATGAATTCTCTGATGTATAATTAGCTGTGCCTTCTCAAAGAAAGCTTTTGCACAATCACTGCATACGTAAGTTTTCTCTCCTGTATGATTTCTCTGATGTTTAATGAGTTGTACTTTCTGAACAAAGGCTTTCCCACATTCACTGCATGCATAGGGTTTCTCCCCTGTGTGGATTCTTTGATGGCGAAGAAGCTGTGGCTTCCAGGCAAAGGCTTTCCTACATTCACTACATTCAAAGGGCTTTTCCCCAGTATGGGTTCTCTGGTGATGAATGAGACTTGATTTCTCACTGAAAGTTTTCCCACATTCACTGCATTCATAGGGTTTCTCACCTGTATGAGTTCTCTGATGAGATATCAGGCTTGACTTTTGGGTGAAGGCTTTCCCACACTCACTGCATTCAAAAGGTTTCTCTCCAGTGTGAGTTCGCTGATGTGTAAGAAGCTGTGACTTCCCAAAGAAGGTTTTACCACATTCAACACATCCATAGGGTTTCTCTCCTAAATGAAGCTTTTGATGTCTTATTAACTCTGACTTCTTAAAGAAGGCTTCTCCACAGTCGCTACACTGACAGTTCTTCTCTCCTGTGTGAGTTATTTGATGTCTGATAAGCTGTGGTTTTCTGATGAAGGCTTCATCACATTCACTGCATTCATAGGGCTTCTCTCCTGTGTGAATCCTCTGATGCCTGATAAGGACTGAGTTCCTGCTGAATGCTTTTTTACACTCACTACAGGCATAAGGTTTCTTCCCTGTGTGAGTCCTTTGATGAGTAATGAGCTGTGACTTCCAAAAGAAGGCTTTGCCACAGTCGCTACATTTATAGGGTTTCTCTCCTGTATGTGTTCTCTGATGTGTAACGAGCTTTAATTTCTGGGAGAAAGATTTCCCGCAGTCACTACAGCCGTAGGGTTTCTCTATTGTATGGGTTACTTGATGTCTTTTAAGCTGTGACTTCCTGCTGAAGGCCTTTCCACATTCACTGCATCTATATGGCTTCTCTCCTGTATGAGTTCTTTGATGTAAAATGAGCAGTGACTTCCTACTGAAAGCTTTTGGACATTCGCCACATCCATATGGTTTTTCTCCTGAATGAGTCCTTTGATGAATAGTGAGCAGTGACTTTTGTGAGAAGGCTTTCCCACATTCACTGCATCCATAGGGCTTCTCTCCCGTGTGAGTTCTCTCATGTACAATAAGCTGTGACTTCTTGTTAAAAACTTTACCACATTCTATGCATAAATAGACTCCTCTCTGTGTTGTCTGGTTTGTAATGAGCCATGATTCTTGGTTGCAGGCCTTTCTACATTTATTGCAGTCACAGCGTTTTATTCCACCAAATGTTCTGTCAGTTTTGATATAGAATAACAGTTTCTTATTAAGCTCAAGTTTCTTTCTTCCACAGTTATTTTTTTGAATAAGAAAATCAAAAGGATGATTCAAACTTTTTTCACTTGTGCCACATTTATGGAGTCTCATTCCTAAATGAACAAAGTTAATGCTTGAATGAAATATTTTTCCCAAAACATATTGATGGCCTTTTTCCATATTTTTAAGCTTGTCTTGATTATTGTGGTGCCACATTTTGAGATTATTATCTAGCCAGAGTTCTTCTAAAAATGAAAAAATAAACTATACTGTGTAAATGCCCCAATGATTATGTTTATTAATGAAAACTTCTGAAATGGAGTCTATGATCCCAGTCCAAAAAAATTTTTTCCCCCCAAATACATTGTCTACTTATTAGGCATTAAAATTTTTAATTAAAATTAAAACAGACTTTTAAAACTACCTTTATATAAATACAAACTTTTAAATAAAAAAAGATGACATATACTCAAGGAACAGTGATCATGAGATAAAAAAGACAAGCAACTTTTAATCAAATCCTGGAATGGTTAAAAAAAAAATTTGGTTTTGTTAATCCTTACCTGAGGATATTTTTCCCATTTTATTTTTAGAGATAGTAAAAGGGAGAGAATGGGGAGGTGGGAGGGTCAAAAGGGAAAGAGAGAGAGAGAAAGAAATAATGATGTGGTTGCCTCTCACCCCATGACTAGGGTCAGGGATAAGACCTGCAACCCAAGTACACGCCCTTTACCAAGAATGAAACCTGCAACCCTTCCTTGCGAGAAAAGAAAAATAAAAAAAGAAACTCAAATGTAATCAATGTCACTTAAAATGAGAAAAACCTATAAATTCCTAAAGAGGAAGAAAGAAACCTGCCTCTGGTGAAGGAGAGAAGGAAATGGAGATGAGGAGGCTGTAAGAGGGCCAAAATTGACTGGCTACAGATGTGGGTAAGACAGGTGTATTTCATCATCAACTCCACCCAGAGAGGACACATCCTGATCTGACCTCTGACATGGAAATCAGAATCAAGGGAATGTTAAAAGTCCTGCAGAACTATGTCAACAGTTCTAAGTCAACTCTCTAAAGAACTAAGGACTTTAAACAGTTTTATACATAACATTTCAGGAGTAGCAAACTTTCTTAAAAAACCTGAACTGTAACCTTCACCGTGTGCCATACACTGGATTATCTCTCACCTGAGAAGTTGTGATTTAGAATTTCTTCATATATTTTCCAGGGCTCTTGTTGCTCCAGCTTCAAAACTGCATCAGGTTTGGTAATTTCATGACCTGTTAGTTGGAAACACAGAGGACTTGGACACAGTTGCTTGAGCTAAGGGACTCTTAAATGTGAATAATGTTTTACTGCAGAGGCTACAAACAAACAAGTGAATAAAAATATTCTAGTTGGATATAGAAATCAAAAAATCATTGACATCTGGAACTTAAACCCAACATCAGTAAAATGTTAGAGGCCCCACCATTATTGGGCACACACTGCATTACATAAGAATGTTCTTACCCAAGAACACTAGATTGCTGTAGTTCTCCAACATCACATCTCTGTACAAGTTCTTTTGGATAGGATTTAGTAGCTGCCACTCCTCCAATGTGAAATCCACAGCCACATCCTCAAATGATATCTAGGAAAGCATAATTCCTGTTAAAGCCGAAATGATTCTCACACAGAATGCCAGCTTTCTTCCCTATAGGGGTAGGCAGTCTCTCAGTGGGCCCCACTGACCTCTAACTCCTGATATTCATGCATCTGGGTAGGCCTCTCCTCCTGAATATGGGCTGGGCTTTCTGACACACTGCAACTCAACAGAACAGAATGTCACAGAAGAATTATCTTCCATCTTGGAAACCCTCTCTGGCTCTCTTGGGGGTAATGCAGCTGCCATGCTGAGAGGCATTCCTGTGCAGAAGCCCCTGAGGCTGAGGTCTGCTCACACCCACGGAGTTAGCGAGAAAGGAGATCATCCCCCTATGGCACCTGCAGAGGACCACAGCCCTTCTCAACTTCTTGATTACAGAGCCCAGTGGGTCAGCAGCTGGTAGATTCCTAAGCCACAGAAACTGTGAGATAAAATCTTGTATTTTCAGCCAATGAGGTTTGGGGGGTAATGTGTTACTCAGCAATGGTCAACTAATATAATATCCTAATCTTGCATTATACCCTGAGAGAGAGATAAAAATGTTATTAAAATATCTATCATTATGAACTCATTCATGTATCCACTGAATAAGAAACTGAAATACGTTGTCTTTAAGTAAGTGCTATGTTTCTCAAAGAAGGTGCCACCGGTACTTGGGAACAATTCTTAGCTGAGTGCAAATGCCCCACACAGCAGGAGCCCTTCAGCAAGCCTGGTCGCTGAAACATCGATGTGAGACACACTGATTGGTTACCATCCGCACACATCCCAACCAGGGCTGGGGATCACCTTCAACCAACGTACATGCCCTTGAGATCTAGTCCAAGGGCTGATGCTCTAACCACTGAGTAATACAGTCTAAGGCTTGGCTGTTGCTTTAACTGGCTATTCTGATACCTGGCAGCTGGGCTCCCTCAGCTCAGCTGAGCTCCTGACATAATTATATCAAGAAAGGGAAGCCCGGACGGTGTGACTCAGATGCTGAGCATCAACCTATGAACCAGGAGGTCACAGTTGGATTCCCAGTTGGGGCACATGCCTGGTTTGTGGGCTTGATCCCCAGGAGGGGCGTGCAGGAGGAGCCAATCCATGACTCTCTCATCATCATTGGTATTTCTCTCTCCCTCTCTGAATCGATAAACATGTATTTAAAAAAAAAAAAAAGGAGAAAAGTCAGTGTAACTGTACATTAGTTTAAACAACAGAAGAGTGGCTTTGAAAGGCGAAGGGACATGACAGTTTTATATATATACTGTGTGTGTGTGTGTGTGTGTATATATATATATATATATATATATATTGTATATAATATATTTTTATTTATTTTTTACAGAGAGGAAGGGAGAGGGATAGAGAGCTAAAAACATCGATAAGGGAGAATCATCAACCAGCTGCCTCCTGCACACCCCCACACCGGGAATGTGCCTGTAACCAAGGTACATGCCCTTGACCAGAATCGAACCCGGGACCTTTCAGTCTGCAGGCCAACGCTCTATCCACTGAGCCAAACCGGTCTTGGCGACAGTTGGTTTCTTGAGTCAGGAAACTGAGGAAACAGAGCTGAAGGCAGACACCCTGGTGCCCAGCTTTCGGCAACAGAAGCAAAAACGTTCCCAAAGAGCGATGATTGTGGGGCCACCTGAAGGCTTTCTAATGACCATTTCTGCCTGTGGTTCAGGGTCTTTGCTAAACGTAGAAGACGGGCAGCGTGCCCTCCAGGCCCCCTGCTGCCGTCCTCTAAATACCTGTGTTCTGCACCTTTGCTCGCAATGAGGGACTCATACCGGCAACATAAGCAGCTGTCGCTGCGGTTCCTCCACGTGTCATCCTCGGAACGCTTGCTCCTACCCAGTAAGTGCTTTGCCTTTTGTAACAGTTCCCGATGCCCTGTCTGCCCGGCTTCTGGGAACGGCTGAGGGAAGCTTGCAGCTCATTTCTAACCATGAGGGACCTATTTCTCGTACACCTATGTTCCAACTGGAAGACTTTTGTGGGATTCTACACCCACTTGTGCTTCTCTGACATCTGTGTGGTATGCGGGCTACTACCCGTCTTGGAACTGCAATGAGGGCCGTTGGTAAGTGCATTGCAGGACCCTGGGAGACCCTGGCCAGCTCCACAGTCAAGGAATGACCAGATAGAAACTTCTCTGGTGTGAGCCTGGATTTTAACAGCTGGCGTGTTTTGTTTTTTGGGTTTTTTTTTTTTATAAATATATTTTATTGATTTATTACAGAGAGGAAGGGAGAGGAATAGAGAGTTAGAAACATTGACAGAGAAACATCAATCAGCTGTCTCCTGCACACCCTCTCCTGGGATGTGCCCACAACCAAGATACATGCCCTTGACCAAAATCGAACTTGGGACCCTTGAGTTAGAAGGCCAATGTTCTATCCACTGTGCCAAACTGGTTAGGGCAACAGCTGGCGTTTTGATCTCACACCGCTTGCATGCGAGCACACTAGCACGTCCATCCTGCCGGCAGGACTCGTTACCCTGTTTGCTTTGTTTTCTGTCTGTGCAGAACACTGTACTGAAAAAGCCTGTGCTGAGAGACGTCACCAGGGAGCTCACATGTCTAATAAACTCATCTTTCACAGCCGGTCCTCTGGGTTAGTTCTTTGGAACCAGCAAGCAATACACTGAGGCCTTTTTGAACCTCCGTGCTTTGCATCACATCCTTCCCAAGTTTACACTGTTTCTGTGGTTAGGATCTACATGTATGTATACCTGTCCTGTGTTGCTTGTACAGATTCCTCTAAGCCCATCACACCCACAGAAAACACTTCTGGAGAATAAGCACATAACTCACCTGTGACATGATCATTTTCTGCTGCTCTGGCCTCTCTGTCCTGATGCTCTGGAAACGGCCTCTGGCCAGGAGCTGAAAACGGCACCTCCAGTTCCGAGCCTCCCCTTCCTTACCTCACCGAGCCATCTTGTTCCTGAGAGCCATGGCCTGGAGGCGCAGTGGGAATTGCATTTTAAATGGTGTAATTAATCTGGGAAACTGAATCTTGGTTCTCTCTCACTGGGACCTCAGAGAAGTGTTTGCTGCATTCGAACCAGAAGCAGAGGGAATGGGAGCCACCGGCAGGTCTCAGCTGAGCCTGGCACTGCCCTTTGCAGCCCTGGCTCCCACCTGGAGATGCCAGATGGAAGCCACTCGCATGGTTCAACCATACCCACCTGGACCCCCCCCCCCCCCTTCTCCTTCCCCATCACACACACACACACCCCAGAACTCTCTGCAGAAACCTCAGCAAAGCCTGAACATACAATCTTGGCTCTTCTTTCTGTAGCAACATGTCCTTGGGGCACTTAAATTACCTGCACAGGTGCCACAGTGTAAAATGCAATTCATTTCTGGGAAGGTTGGTAAACAGAACTGGCTTTTAGATCAATATGGTGAAGTAGCCTGAGGTGCTGGCTCTCTAGTCTAAATTCAGCCATGGAGCAGAAGAATGCATACATCAGAGGAACCGACAGAGGTGGCAATAGGAAGAGACCACGGGGGAGACAGGCGGAGGTGAAGCTGACAGCACACAGCATGTGTGACCACCTCGAGCAAAAGGCGGCAGGAAGCTGGAGGAAACCTGTAATGATGCTTCTTTCTGGGCTCCCATAGGGCAGATACGGCCCACCTGTCCCCTCAGGAACCAGCAGGAACAGCCCAGGCAGGTTTCTAGGGATCATTGAAGATCAAATACCAGGTGGACAAAAAAACAAATAGCAAGGGCTGCTCAGCTGCCCCTGGGGGTTTACTCGTCTCTGACCTCTCCGTTCAGAGGGCTTCTTTCTAAGGGCCCCTGACCTTGACCCAAGGAGCTGTTTGGAGAGCAGATGGGACTCGGATGTGCAGTGGTTCTACAGGGTCCTTCCCTTCTCTCCAATGGCCTGGCCTCAGCCCTCCGCTACTGCACGTCACCAGAGCTTATACGGAGAGTAGCTAACACCTCTAGGGCAGTGGTCGGCAAGCTACGGCTCGCAGGACCCTTAAGCAGAAGTTTTGACTTCAGGTTAAAGACATTAGTACATTATTAAAATGGTTTTTTTAAAGTGTTTTTCCCTAAAGGTGGTCGGCAAGCTCATTAGTCAACAGAGCGACAAAGCGTGGATCGAGAGCCACAGTTTGCTGACCACTCCAGTCACCAGGTAAATCTAGGATGGACTGTGTGTGTCAAATGATCATGTTTTTTTTCTTCTAGAGAACGTGTTTGTGTGTGTGTGTGTGTGTGTGTGTGTGTGTGTGTGAGAGATGGGTTGTACAAAAAAGGGTGAGCTCTCTCCCGTCTCTACAATCTTTTCAGCAGACTGCTTGCAATGCTCATTGCATTCCGGTATAACTGTTATTCAGTAATAAAACTTTTCTTTCTCTTCTGCTTTTTCTGGAAACGTTTTCTGGGTTGGCAGGTGACGATTTTAATTATTTCTCTAACATGCCAACCAGATAACTGGATGCAACCACTATTTTTAACCCTTTTGAAAGATCACAGACTACATAACATATATCACCTTAGAGGGAGTTATTGGAACACAAACCAAGACTTATACAAGCATGATAAACAAAAATACACATTTTGATGCATAAAAACACTTATGCTGTAACTCTCTTCACTTCCATCCAGCCAGATCGGGATCAGAGAAGGACTGCTGGCATGGGGGGCACGGTGGCACAGGGGTCCATCCTTCCTAAGAATACACCTGGAGGGAAATGTCCAGTAAGCTCAGGGCCTGGAAAACTCGGGTGGGGGGAGGGGCAAGTTCCACCTTTCCCTGCAAACCTGCCACAGGCAGACTGGACACAGTGGGCCGTCCAATGGGCCTCTTTCCAGCAAATGAAGGGTGAGAGGAGACTGGTGCACCTGCTGTGTGTGTGGAGGCACTGTTTTCTCAGGGAAGGGGGAAGGTGCCTCCCATGTTCCTGTGGATAAAATGGGTACAGAGAGGAGTGGACGGAAGTGTCCACTCACCTGCCACAAGAGGGGAGAAGGTGACGCCTGGGTGCTAGCAAACTGCCAGGCTTTGCCTAGTAAAGCTGGACTCTTTTTAAAAAATATATATTTTTTTTTATTGATTTTTTTTTTTTTTACAGAGAAGAAGAGAGGGATAGAGAGTTAGAAACATCGATCAGCTGCCTCCTGCACACTCCCTACATGGGATGTGCCGGCAACCAAGGTACATGACCTTGACGGGAATTGAACCTGGGACCCTTCAGTCTGCAGGCCGATGCTCTATCCACTGAGGCACACCGGTCAGGGCAGAAGCTGGACTCTTCAGTGCAGTGTGAAGGGTATGGGGCTTGAAGGCGGGTCTCTCCTGGACGAATGTCCTGGGAGAGCCGAGGGCAACATGCAAAAGCACCTCTTCCCAAGATGCCCAGGGAGACCCTCCACGCTGCTCGGTATAGGGAGGGCCCCTGCCTCTTCCCCTTCCCCCTACCCCCTTCCGCACACCCTTTTTCACCCCCTGCCGCCTCGGAGCCCCGACAACTGTCTACGGACCTCCCCTCCCCCCCCCCTCCCCCCCAGCCACTCCCAGAGATTTACCCAGAGGCACCGTCAGCCCGTTAATTCGCTGCGGGGACCTCACAACCACGCACCCCAGGCTCAGGTTCCTGACGGCCACGGATTAATGCCCCCGATGGACCCCTCCCCGGTCTCCTCCCATGTCTCCGTCAGGCCGCCCCCAACCGCCCTTACAGACAGGCCCCCTACAGCGCCGCACCCGGGCCCTCCCTCCCCGCAGCCCCGCGGCCCCCACTCGCCCACCTGGACGGGAACAGCCGCGCCGCGGAGCCGTTGTCCGGCCTGCCCAGTGCGGGCCAGGGTCGCCGAGGGACAGGGCGGTCACGGAGGCCGCCCCAGGCCACAACCTCCCAATCCCGTCGCCGCCCCACAAAGCCTCGCCCCGGAGGCCTCAGCATCGACTGACATCGCCCGAAGGCGGAAGTGTCTGCGCAGAACTACATTTCCCGGGATTCTGCTCGATTCAGAACTACACTTCCCAGAGGTCTCTGCGACCTGCTTGCACGATTGACATGTTAGGGGTTTGCAGCCCCTGGGTAGCTGCCAAGGAGCGTGGTACAGAGACGGGGGAGCCGGTGTACTTTTTTTTTTTTTTTTTTTTGGGGGGGGGTGTACATCTATTTATTTCTCTCTTCGCCTACTGTACTTTCCCCTTTATGAGGTTGGTAACTGTATTACTTTTGCACTGATCATCAAACTGTTTTTACAGAGAGGAAGAGAGAGGCACACTGAACTGCAGCTTGCAGCCTGACAGGGCCCCTCTCTGCTATGCCTTGTGGTCTACCTCTATCTTGTTTTGACATCAAGACCTGAGCACGGCCCTGGCCGGTTAGAGCGTGGGCCTGCAGAATGAAGGGTCCCCGGTTCGATTCTGGTCAGGGGCATGTACCTTGGTTGCAGGCACATCCCCAGTATGGAGTGTGCAGGAGGCAGCTGAACGATGTTTCTAACTCTCTATCCCTATCTCTTCCTGTCTGTAAAAAATCAATAAAATATATAACAAACAAGAAAAAAGAAAAAAAGAGAAAGAAAAAAAAAAGACCTGAGCACGCCTGCCGCTCCGGCGATGCCAGCCTCCTCCTGGGGCTGCGTGGGCTGTGCAGAAGCTGGGACGTAAGGGCGCCCTGGGCTGACCGGCCCGGGACGCTCGCGGAGGCCCGTTGCCTGCCTCTCCCGTTAGGTTCCAAATCTCTGTCCCCTTCCCCCCTCCCGGCTTCCGGTCCCGTGTGGTGGACGCTCCGCAGGGGATTCTGGGAGATGTAGTCTTCATCCCTGCCTGTCCGGCGCCCGGCTCTTGGACGCGTGACGTACTTCCGCGTGCGCCGCCCCGTGGCCGCGATCGGTTGTTGTCTGTGTGCCCCAGCGGGCGGGGAGCGTCCGGGGGCCGCGGGGCGGCCATCGCTGTCCAGGCTCTGGTCCAGCGGAGCCCTCCGCGGGCGGTCCCACCGTGGACGGACCCAGCCCGGCCTCTGTCCTCACGCAGGAGGCCCGCGGGACGGTGCGAACCATCTCTCCGGTTCCTCTGTCCAGGCTGGGAGGGACTCGGCCCTGGACCTCGCTCTGTGGGGGCGCGAGGTCCCTCCTCGGGGGGCGCGGGGGGGAGCAGCAGCGAGACCCTCACGGCACCGCACGGCATGGCCGCCAGGACCCGGGCAGCTGCGTGCTGGGTAAGTGGCGACTTGCTCCTTCTCGGAGCTGCCCGCGGCGCTGGGCGGACAGGGTCCCTCCAGGGCCTGGACCCACCGGCAGCCCCGGACCCCGCCCGACCCCTGCTCTGCATCTCCGGGAACATGGTCTTCTGGCAGGTTGTGTCCCGGGCCCTCTCCTTCAGCAGTTCCACTTCATGGCCAGTTGCGGACCCTGAACTCCGAGGAAAATGAGGGTCGCCGGAGCCGGGGTCGGGGTCGGGGTCGGGGCCGGGGCCGGGGCCGGGGCCGGGGCCGGGCGCAGGGCGCACGGCGCAGGGCGCAGGGCGGATCAGGTCAGTAGGTGAGCATTGGGCCTAGAGGCAGGTTCATGGGTTGGGAGAGGAGTTTGGGGTGCCAAGCAGAGCTAAGCAGGTTTGGAGGAAGGGAGGGGGAGTGGACCACCTGGACTGACGGAGTGAGCAAGAGGAGCGACTCCAGCCATTGCTGGACTGACACAGAGCCGGAAAATGCTGCTGACAAACTCGCCTAACCCCACAGACAAGACCAGGCCAGGACAGCAGCGAGGTGTGTCCCAGCCCGGGGAGCGCCGAGAGAAGACGCATCCAGGCACCGGGGTAGTTTTGTGGTATTTTTTATGCGCTGCCTGAGGTTCGGTCTGTAGCTCAGTGGGAATTCTCAGCTGGAAATAAACAGATCAGAGGCACCTGGGATCGCGGTAGCTCCGGATGTGACAGAGAAGGGCCCTGGAGAGGATGCAGTAGAGGACTCAGAGCAGTGACAGGGACAGGATGGCTCATGGAGTGAGCGCAACAGACAGGAAAGTCTGGAGAATGTGTTTGTTTGTTTTCTCTGTCATTTGAGAAAAGAGTACTTAATACGACGGACTGTCCTGTAGTGTTTAGTTCTGTTTTTTGTGTTTTTTTTTAATAAACTTCCTTGTCGGAGTGTACTATGTGTGTATGTGTAGGGTTCCTTTTATTTTCCTAGTTTTTTTCTCTAGCAATATTGACCACACTTCATAATAAATGAGATTAGATTGCATTTGGTGCTGTTCTTGCCCAGCATTGTCTGTGGGATTATGCACATTTGTGTGATGCCCTGTACCCGTCACTTCTTGCCTCTGCATCACGTGGGGTCTGATGGGAATTGTGCCTTGGGCCAGTGATAGGCCTGACTTGTGAATACAGTCCGAGACCATTACCTTTTGGAGTGGCTACACCTTTGGTGCGATTTCAGTGTGTTGTCTGATCACTGACTGGTTGGTCTGGCTTTCCTAATTATTTCTGAACCAATTTTGGTTAGTTTTATTTTCCGGGAAACTTTTCCATTCCTTCTGAGTTTTCAAATTCATGGGAATAAATTCGTAAGTACCGTTAGTTCTCCCTTCATGTTAGCTTTATTTTTTTATTTAATTTTTTATTGGAGATATGTAGATATATACATAGATAGATAGATATACATACATGGATCGGCTGCCTCCTGCATGGAAACCCTGACTGGGAATCAAACTGGTCACCTTTTGGTCTCAGGATGACACTCAATCGACTCAGCAACACCTGCTAGGGCTCATGTTTGATTTTAAAATGTGAGTTTGTTTCAACATCGTTGATATCATAGCGAACAATGGGAGCTTTCTGGTTTTAGACAACTTCTTTCCACCACTTCACAATAAGCTTGCAGCCCCTCTGACGCCGGGCGTTGGGTCCTTTTCAAGGTCAAGTGCCCTATTTATGGTAGCATTTACGTGCTTACCTATGAAATGTGTGTAAAACTGCCACACTTGTGTCATCTAGGGTAACTGCACCTGGTAGAATGGGGTATGTGTCATTACAGGAATTATTGTCATTCAAAGATATATCCATGGACTTCACCCGAGAAGAATGGCAGTTGCTGGATTCTGCGCAGAAGTACCTGTACAGGGATGTGATACTGGAAAACTATCGCAACCTGGTGTCTGTAGTTAAGTACCACTTCTCTGTTAACGCGGACTCTGGTCGTAAGTAGCCATCCCTTTGCTCTTGTCGATTTACCCTGAAGTACTTGAAGATGATGGGCATGAACTTCAGAGGTCACACGTCATCCCTGTTTTGGCGATCACCTCCTCATGGTAAACTCCCCAAGGACACATGAGCCGTGTCACGTTGTGGCTCGTGGTGTCTCGACCCCTAGCAGTTTGGCCCACATCCTTTGTGATTTTCCATTAACAGGGTATCATGGTACCAAACCTGATCTAATCTTCAAGTTGGAGCAAGGAGAAGAGCCATGGACAAGAAATGCCAAAATTTCTCATCAGAGCTGTCCAGGTGGGTGAGTGGGAACTAGGAAGACAGGAGATGTGGGAGCACACGGGTGCCACTCAGGCAGCGCTGGGAGTAGACACTTTTGTCTAAAGTCCCTGAACCGCCCTAACCAGTGTGTCTCAGTGGATAGAGCATTGGCCTGTGGACTCAAGCGTCCCAGGTTCAATTCCGGTCAGGGGCTTGAGAGAAACCATGCTTGTATTATAACACATTTGGAAAACTTGATCTGAGCAAAACTTTTAGCAAGTAGAAGGGAGAGTGCGGTAAAGCCTTCACTCAGAAGTCCTCTCTCAGTCCTCAACCAGTTACCCTTGGTTGCAGGCACATACCCAGTAGGGGGTGTGCAGGAGGCAGCTGATCCATGTTCTCTCTCATCCATGTTTCTGACTCTCTATTTCTCTCCCTTCCTCTCTGTAAAATATCAATAAAATATATATTAAAAAAGAAAGAATTTAGTGTCTCAAATGACAGGTTGTCAGCCATAGGGCAATAGCTTCACAGAGGCTTAATTCAGAAGCTTGATGATGTCAGGGATCAATGTTCCAACTATCTCCCCTTTGTCATCCCCTTTGTCACTGCTAATTTGCTACCCATATCCACAATGGGGTTCAGTTTGGTTTGATTCAGTTGAGATATATATATATATATATATATATATATATATATATATGGCTATATATGTAATTGATTTTTTACAGAGAGGATGGGAGGAGTTAGAAACATCGATGAGAGAGAAACATAGATCAGCTGCCTCCTGCACACCTCCTATTGTGGATGTGCCCACAATCAAGGTACATGCCCTTGACTGGAATCAAACCTGGGACTCTTCAGTCCCCAGGTCGACACTCTGTCCACTGAGCCACACCAGCGGACATTGATTCAGTTCCCCTCACTCCCACGCTTAATCCCTGCGCAGGTACACTTGGCCAGTATTTCTTTGAACCAGTGTAACCGTTGAGCCTGTGACCTAGAGGAAAAGACTCACTACATGGCAGTTCTAAGACTTTCATTCTGTATTAAGTTCCATATTATGACTTAAAAATATTTTTCTTTCCAGAAGTTTGGAAGGAGTGGTACCAGAGGAATCCAGATGAGCTTGAAAGTCTTGAGAGAAACCATGCTTGTAACACATTTGGAAAACTTCATCTGAGCAAAACCCAGGCTTCTTCAAGACGAAGACTCCACAAGTGTAACACACTTGGAAAAAGTTTGACACAGAACTCAGGTTTAACCAGAAGCTATCTACGAAAGAGTCCTGATAATTTTCATGGATACGAGCCATCATATTTTCTCAAGCATCCAAGAGCTCACAGTACAGAAAAAAACTGTGTATGTTGTGAATGTGGGAAAGCTTTTCGTTGTAAATCACAGCTCGTTGTTCATCTCAGGATTCACACAGGGGAGAGACCTTACGAGTGCACTAAATGTGAGAGAGCCTTCAGTGCCAAGTCTAACCTTAATGCTCATCAGAGGGTTCATACAGGAGAAAAACCCTACTCCTGCAGCCAGTGTGGCAAAGTCTTCTCGTTCAGGTCACAGCTCATTGTCCATCAGGAAATCCACACGGGAGGGAAACCCTACGGCTGCCCTGAGTGTGGGAAGGCTTATAGCTGGAAGTCGCAGCTCATTTTACACCAGAGAAGTCACACAGGTGTGAAGCCCTACGAATGCGGCGAATGTGGGAAAGCCTTTAGTTTGAAGTCACCCTTCGTCGTCCACCAGAGAACTCACACAGGGGTGAAGCCCCATAAATGCAACGAGTGCGGGAAAGCCTTTCGGAGTAAGTCCTACCTCCTCATTCACGTCAGGATGCACACAGGAGAGAAGCCTTACCAATGCAATGACTGTGGGAAAGCCTTCCATATGAAGACACAGCTCATCGTCCACCAGGGAGTTCACACGGGGAATAACCCTTACCAGTGCAGTGAGTGTGGGAAGGCCTTCGGCAGGAAGGAGCAGCTCACGGCACACCTGAGAGCTCACGCAGGAGAGAAGCCCTACGGGTGCAGTGAGTGCGGGAAGGCTTTCAGCAGCAAGTCGTACCTCGTCATCCACAGGAGGACACACACCGGAGAGAGGCCCTACGAGTGCGGTTTCTGCGAGAGGGCCTTTTGTGGGAAGTCACAGCTCATCATCCATCAGAGAACTCACTCGACGGAGAAGCCCTATGAATGCAGTGAGTGTGAGAAAGCCTATCCAAGGAAGGCATCGCTCCAGATACACCAGAAAACTCACTCGGGAGAGAAACCCTTCAAATGCAGCGAGTGCGGTAAAGCCTTCACTCAGAAGTCCTCTCTCAGCGAACACCAGCGAGTGCACACGGGAGAGAAACCGTGGAAATGCTCTGAGTGCGGAAAATCCTTCTGTTGGAACTCAGGGCTCCGTATACACAGGAAAACGCACAAGTGAAATTAGCATGAAGTAGAGGTTAGAAACATTCTAACAAAACTTGGTCCTTAGATTTCAGGTGATGATATAGATAGGATATATATGCAGGCAGTCCCAAAAATTCACTCATATCCAGTAAGTCATATAGGAGAGAAAACAATCATATCTGTAATGACTGTGCAAACGACTTTAGCAATAAGTCACACACAAACTTGTTAGATGAGACTAAAAGAAGAAATTGAGCAGAACTATATCAAATGTGCTGGCATCATTTATGAAGATTTTATTTTGAGAATTTTATTGAGAACACTTTATAAATGTATTAAACTGGGAAAGCATTTTCTCACAGAAATGTGTTCAATGGAGAGTCACATTCCAAATTTGAAGCTATGTTTTAGAGTAAATGAAACAATTATAAATGTAGACTTTTACGTGGTGGAGTATAAAGGTTTTTATATGTAAATGTCAAGATTAGGGACATATTCTGTAGGGTAAGGAATATTTAGGATGACTTTCATGAACAGCACTGAATATAATTTTTAAAACTTATTTTTATTGACTTTTATAGAAAGTAGAAGGGAGAGAGAAAGACATTGATCAGCTGCCTCCTGCCTGTTCCTTAGCAGGGTTTGAGCCCACAACCCAGGCACATGCCCGCAACCTTTCAGTGCACAAGGCAGGGCCTCAACAGCACTTATTAAAATTTAGTTCTTTTATTTTTCAATGTAACTTGTTATACTCAGTAATTTGTGGAATAACACCCCCCAGTATTCTTCCTGTTAAATGGTAATTATCAGTATTGTATCTCTTTCTTAGCAATATAGCTAATATAATGTGGCTTTTAATAAAAGAAAAGGTACGGTTCTCACTCCAAATGAGTTCGCTTGTTCAGGAGTCCACATAAGTGAGTCTGGTGATGATTACAGGGCTGCTGAAGAGAGCTCCTTGTAGTGAACACTGAGTGTAGTTTAGTGTTCGGTGTCCATTCCCCTTGACTGATGAGAGTACTCCAGTTTTCTCTGCAGAGGCACCTCCGTGTGTGTGTCCTGTGGTGTCTGCTCTAGCGACAGGGAGGCATTATTCCCTTTGTTGGGTAATAGTAGCTCTTTTCCAGGATTTTCAATTTAATTCAGTCTCACGTGAACCATAAAGGAAATGTGGGTAGTCCTATGTTCTTCTCCCAGAATTCTATTCAGATGATCGATTCCTGCTGTACTGATATTCTAGACTAACTCTGAGCACTGTCCCTTTTTGAACCTGGTTTTCTGGCTTTATGGATGCTTCTTTGTATCTTTTTAATTTAAAAAAATATTTTTCAGTTAAAGTTAAGGAAAGTGAATTTCTCTTTCTTATAACTGCAGGGCTTTAATTGATAAATTGTTGCTCCAGAGTCGTGTATAGGTAACAAAATGTTAGAGAAACTTTTTATCCCATAATATGAAATGGTGGTATTGTTTGTGTACACCAAACAGTTTGTGGCCCCTGATATAATTCTGGGAACTCTGAGGAGCTATTTCCATAGAAGAACTTTAAATTTTTGAGGAAATATTGGACAGGAGATGAGATGGATACTTCTGGTCATATCAGCTCTTAAATTCAACAGTGACAGACTTGAAGCCCTGAAATTTCACCTCAAAGCAACTCCTATGACTAATGAAATACTCATAGCTGTAGGGTTCAGATAGTGGAGGGCAAAGACATGTATATTTGGCTTGCTGAATTAAGAAAGTAATGCTCAATTAATCCCTTATGTAAATACGCATTGGTCTAGAAAAAGTCCGATAATTCGATTAGAGATATCTGAGGAATCAGAACAGCCTAGCAAGCCCTGATAATTTTGCTCTTCATTCAGGGACATAGATTGCATGTTGGCAAACTACAGCCCACTGGCTAGCTGCAGTTTGCTGCTAATAGCAAAAGTACAGAGATAAATTGAATAATGGGTTGGTAAACAGGAAGGAATTATAAAGATTCATGAGAAAGCATACTGTGGAGAGAACGCCTAGGAGGTGGCTGGACAACAACTGTTCATTAAAGATGTTAGGTGTGTGACTTGTAAGGCCAATTAGTTATCTCAGCAGAAATACTACCAGCTTGGACCAAAGGGGACAGAGAAGGGTTGAAATGAAGGAATGCTGTGGGACTTCTGAAATCCTACAGGCAGGAAGCAAGCTGGTAGAGCTATCTAGCTGTAAACACGAGTTAATCTTAAAAAGGGGGAAGAAGAATGACCTCAACACAGCACCACCACCTCAGTTCTAGAAGGTGACACCTATTTAAATTCCAGACAACTGGTATACCGTGCAGGGAGGAGAGAGCAGGGCCATCACCCAAGTGGGCTCACAGGACAGCCTGTAGCCAAAGAGCACTTGGGAATCGCTTCAGCTAAATATCCCAGTTCACTGTAAGTTCTACTTTTCACAAAACAGGACATAACCAAGTTCTCTCCCACTTTAGTACAAAGGTCTCCTTTTTCTCCAACTCCAATAACACATTACTCATTTCTACCCCAACACCTTATCAAAAGTAACCTTTGTACACACCTTTCACATTAGTATTTCTAACCAGGTTGTCTCCAGGCAAGCTGGGCTTTCTCTATCAAATGCCTCCAAACTCTACCATCTGCCACCAGCCCCAAGCCATTCCCACATCGTTAGGCATTTGCTATAGCAGCATCCTATTTTCTGGTACCAAAATCCGTGTTCATTTGCTGGGGCTTCTGTAACCCAAAGTACCACAAAATGAGTGTCTGTTTCTGGAGGCTGGAAGCCTGAAACTAATAATTTAATAAATATGAAAGGTTTCCCCTAATTCATTATTAACTTTAAATCTAATAATTCTCTCCTGGTTGTCTAGAAGAGTTCACCAGAAACTCAATGATGGATGCTTTTCCTTCTCTGTATTTCTATTTTCTTTTAAAATTTATTGATTTTTATTTGTTTTATTTTTTTTAATATATTTTTTTTATTGATTTTGTACAGAGGGGAAGGGAGAGAGATAGAGAGTTAGAAACATCGATGAGAGAGAGTCATCGACCAGCTGCCTCTTGCACAGCTGGGGGTATGCCCGCAACCAAGGTACATGCCCTTGACTGGAATCGAACCCGGGACCCTTCAGTCCCCAAGCCGACGCTCTATCCATTGAGCCAAACCGGTCTTGGCATAAAATTTATTGATTTTTAGAGAGAGAGAGGGAAAAAGAGAGAATCCTTGGTGAATAAGGCCCATGCTCTAACCAACTGAGCTGCTCGCCAGGATTCCATGACTGATGCTGTTCGACAGAGAATCTCTGAAATCGTCTTTGTTTTCACCCTTGATTAGGTTTTTCTCATTTATTGGGTCAAATTTGATATATCTATTGTATTTGTGCCATTAAAAGTTTTCAAATTTATTAGCACTGAGATTTCTCATTCAATTTGCTGTGTCTGGTTATTTATCCTTTTTTCCTCCCTACCCTTCTATCTCTTTATGAAAATAGTTACTAACATATTTATAACTTTCCCTACACTGCAGTGTTTCCCAAAGTGTGGTATGCATACCCCCAGGGGTACAGGAAGAGTCTGGTGGGGGTACACGTTGCACCAGAGTTTGGTGGGGATGTGCACTGCACCGTGCTTCGCGGCGCCTAATTCTACGTTCTCACGAGTACGAGGGGTACTCAGCGTTACGAAAATTATAGAGGGGGTACACATATGTCAAAAGTTTGGGAAACACTGCCCTACAGCATTGGAATTAGGGACCAGCTTTACCTTTTCCCACTGATTAACTCCGATCTCCTTTCCATAAACGTATTTTTAAAAATTTCCGTTTCCCTCCATGGAATGCTTAAGCCAATTGTCTTTCTTTCTTTTTTTATTTTTTTAAGAAGCCTACATTTGGGTTTCAATTCCTAATCTTTTAAAACTCCTAGCCTTTAAGACCTCTCCTGAAAGCTTGCCCCCGGAGCTCGCTGCAGCGCCCGCCGCCTCCCGCGTCTCCAGGCAACCAGCGCGCCTAGGCCGCTGGGCCTTCTGGGAAATGTAGTCCGCAGGCGCCTTCCTGTCGGTACGAGCACGCGCGTTCCCATGGCCACCGACGCTGGCAGATAGCGCCCCTTTTCTTTGTCCTCCGGCGCCGCGGGGGAGGCGAGTGCCGGTCGGGATCCCGCCGGAGCGCCCCGAGGCCCACGGGCTGGGGCGCTGTGCTGCCCGGGGCGGGGGCGGGGGGCGGGGGGGCGGCGATCCCCGGGGTGGCGACCGGATCACGTGGTTCCAGCCCGGCGCGTCCGAGGTCAGAGGCTCGGGGAGTCGGGTCGGTATTAGCGGGGCTGCGGTTTCGGACCTGGGGTCGGCGGGGCGTGCGGGCTCCGGGGTGAGGGGTCCCGGGTGGGAGATCGCTGGGCTGCAGGCTTCCTTGCTGGTGGGCGTGGCGCTGAGGCCGCAGGGATGGGGTGTCAGGTGCCGCCGGAAGGCGAGGGGGCCCGGCCGGCTGCGCGCCCGGGCAGCGGGGGGCCCTGATGGGGCTCCGGGCGCAGGGAGAAGGGTCCTTTCTCCCGAGGCGACACCCCCTGGCCCCCGGTTCTTGTTTCCTTTGGACTTGCCGGCGGGTTTGTGAACCTGGCGCCTCCCAGACCCTGGCCCGTGTGGCTCAGTGGGTCCCATGTTCGATTCTGGTCAAGGGCATGTACCTTGGTTGCGGGCACATCCCCGGTAGGGGGTGTGCAGGAGGCAGCTGGTGGATGTTTCTAGCTCCCTCTGCCTCTCCCTTCCTCTCTGTAAAAAATCAATAAAAAATATATTTTAAAAAATTGGCGCCTCCCGCACATGGCATCCCTGGAAGGGCTGGAATTCCTGATTGCTGGGCCTGTTACCCCCCAACCTGACTTCACCCAGCTCAGCTTTACATTAATCAACAGTTTCTAAAAACGTTTCTCTCCTAAAATAAAATAAAAAAAAGAAAGGAATGAAAAGGCAACCTCCCCAGATCCCCCCCTTTCCCTGAAAACACATACTCACACACACACACACACACACACACACACACACACACACACACTTGTGGCTGTTGCTGCTGGGCAGGGACATCATCATTGGCCTCAAGGCCTTAAGTCTTCCCCGAAGATTTCTGAGTCTCACGGTTTTCCTATGAAAATGAGGAAGTGGAAAGAAGTGATCTTTCTCCGCCCAGTTTCTATGCTTTTTTGCTGTCCTTAAGATATACTTTATGCCCTGGCTGGTGTGGTTCAGTGAATAGAGTGTTGGCCTGTGGACTGAAAGGTCCAGGGTTTGGTTCCAGTCAAGGGCACATGACTGGGTTGCGGGCTTGTTCCCCAGTAAGGGGCATGTAGGAGGTAGCCAATCTATGATTCTCTCTCATTGATGTTTCTCTTCGTCTCTGAAATCAATAAAAATATATTTTTTAAAAACCATACTTTATAATTATAATTATTTTTTAATATATTTTATTGATTTTTTACAGAGAGGAAGAGAGAGAGATAGTTAGAAACATCAATGAGAGAGAGTCATCAATCAGCCGTCTCCTGCACACCCCCTACTGGGGATATGCCCACAACCAAGGTACATGCCCTTGACCAGAATCGAACCCGGGACCCTTCAGTCCCCAAGCCGACGCTCTATCCATTGAGCCAAAACGGTCTTGGCTATAATTATTTGTTGCTTGCTTGTTTTAAATCATGTAATGCTAAACTGAAACAACTCTGCTTTCCTCTTTTTTTGTTTTTTTTGTTTTTTTGTTTAAGGATTAATGTTAAAAAAAAAAAAGTATACTTTATTATAAATTTAAAATATATCCACTGGAGTCAGTTTTGAGCATCTTGATAAACAGGCTCAAATGAAAATCGTTATTCCTTCAACAGGAGATAGTCACTGCTCACATTTTGGTCCGTTTCTTTGAGCCTTTAGTGTGTATGTTTTTAGTACTTCTTATTTCCATTTCTTTAAAGACACAAAGTTGGGAATATGCTGTATATGCTGCTTAAAATCATGACAGTATATCATGAATGTCTTTTGGTAACTTGGGATATTTTGACCCAAGTGGTAAGTTTAAATTAACCTGTGGGGGAGTTTAAAATGGGCCATTTTTTTTGTTGTTGTTTTTTTGTTTAAGTAAGGGAAAGTTTATAGAAAGTTACAGAGTAGCAGAAAGGCCCTTAAAACTTTGGAGAAAGAGGGAGGGGAGTCGGGGGTGTCCTCAGGAAAAAAGAGAAATAGCAAGCTCTCTGTCTTGTTTTTTGCTTATTCTGCCTGATGCCATGTTTTCTGGACGGGCCTGGATTGCACCCATGCCAGGAACATAAGCAGGGACTCTGGGCCTTTGTCCTCCCTTGCCTCC